TTTTCATGATACGATCTCAGTGTCGGAATGGATTAATTTCGTATCCTGAGGTACCACTGTAGTTGGATAATAAACCGTTTTATTGTAATTTGTCTTTTTAAATTATTTTGAGTTGATATTAAAATTTGGAAAAGGGGGATACCTAGATTGGTAAAATAGGCAAATTTCCTCCTACAACTTCAGTTGTTGTTCGGGATACACTTAAGGTTTTAACAAAGTTTGAGCAAATACATAATTAGCAAAAAATAGTTGAAATAAAGTGATTAAACAAAAATTATTACAAATATCATAAATAACAGTTCACAAATGCATATATAGAGATATTTTTTGAATGGGGGAAATGGTCTTCACAATTTGAAATTGATCGAACACACAGTATAAACACGCCCCATCTATCGTAGGATAAATTCACTATGTCAGAAACCTTCACGGGAGTGTATTAAAAAACTTCCCAAAGCTTCATGGCAATCGTACTATGCCAGAAACCTTCACCGGAGTATATTAAACAACTTCCCAAAGTTTCATGGCAATTGGATAAATGGTGTGGTAATGCATGAAGGACAGACAGACATACATTCATTTTTATATACATAGATAACAAACTAAAAGCAAGCTCTTTGTTTTTTTTTTTTTTCATGGATGGCACATCTTTGTTTCTCAGATGTGATTTTTGTTTCTCCTTTATTTGCTTGAGCCTTTTCAATTGCATCTGTCTTAGCTAAGATTGTGCCTTACTGTAGACCTGTTGATGCCATACTGTGCAGCAACATCAGACATCTTCTGCCCACTCTCTACTTTGGCTATTGTCTCTTTCTTAGTTTCTATAGTGAACAAAGTTCTTGACACTGCACCCCATAATATTATCAGTTTTTTTTAAATAAAAAGTTCAAAAAAGCCATGTGCAAAGATTCAGAGAACAGAAATAAACTATTTCAAAAAGGTTATGTATATAACTGTGAAAGTCTCGTTCCATAAACCATTCATAGCCAGTAAAATAGAGTTTTATGCACCTTAAATGCAGCATCTATTCTTGTTTGTTCTATGAGGTGTTTGTTATCTGAACATGTGTTTGTTGTCCAAACATAAAAATCTTTAGTGAAGTGTTCGTTGTCTGAACTGTTTGTTACCGATCACCCACTGTATTTCATTTTATACTGTAAAAAAGTTAACTCAAACAGTTTTTGGAACCATATAATTCATTGCAAACTTTATAAATATTACATACTAAAAAAAGTTTTGTTTTCAGTCTTACATTTTTGTCAGCTGAAGTTTATATTTTTTTAATATTCAATAAGATTCTTTTATCTGGTAACCTTAAATTATTATTCTATCATTATTTCCAATTTTTTTTATGAATAGAATGTGACATTGACAAAGTATCTTATATAAATTGTTGAATATTGACAAGAATTTCAATACGGAGTTTAAATGGATAAATCTGCTATTGGATAATACTACTACTATAGAAGAAATTGAAGAAATTATTACAAGTCATGTGAAAAATATGACATTTCAGAATATTAATTTTTGTTAGTCTTGATATGAAATCTGTTTTTTAAAAATTAATTTTAATAATAATAAATAATAGTAAAACATTTAATAATATATATTCAAAATTAGAAAATATGGACTTTATGTTTCTTTCAGGAATAATAGTAATTTAATAAATTACCAAACGATCGCCTAAATATCAAGCTATAATATTTAGGCGATTGTTTGGTAATTTATTATATACTATTCGAGCTTTGAGTTGTTGTTATTTAATAGTAATTTATTCCTTAAATAGTAATAGTAGTAGTAATTTTTAAGATTACATTTGATGAAAAATCCATTATTCAAATCATTAGATATGTGTAAGGTATTCATAAATTTTATGTACAGTAAATGTAATGCTATGTTATAAACGTATTTTAATTTATGAACACCTTAATGCATTTGAGGTGTTCATAAATTAAGGTGTTTATTAAAATTAAGCATTTAAGGTATTCATAAAACTTTTTTTATGGCATACCTGCATATAAATTAGCCAAAATTTTTTATGATGATTAATTATTTTTACTTAATGCTTCTGAAATACTTTTTATTGTAATTATTTCTGATTAAAATGCAAATTTTTGTATCAGAAAGATATAATCTAAAACATTTTGATTCAATGAATATAGTTTTTCAATGAATATAGTTTTTTCTGTTCATAAGTTTTTACAATTTATGATTTTTGTGAATGTAGCATTTTGAATTATAAAGTATTTAATTACTTTGTAGAATAATGTTATTTTCATTATTAGTTATAAGTCTGCAATTTGTTAGATTTATTTTTTAAAGAAGTTTAAAAAATTTTGGAGTGTTTGCTGAGAGAGGAGTTTTGAAGCAAGTACTTAAAATGTTTCTAATGACAAGGAGACTGAAAGGGTGAATATAAACAAAGATTCATAAAAAATTCAGTAAAAGGAAATTCAGGCATAGCATTGTTTAAAATATTGAAAGAAAAGAAGTTTAACCCTTCATATTAATGACCAATTTGAATTAAGTAATAATAGTTGCTTTCCATTATTAATTTTTTTTTTTTTTTTTGCTGCAATTTGAGAAAATTGTAGACCTATAAATTCCCACTGTCATCCATCTGTCTTTCCTTAATCTCTAGAACAAAGTTAGATAGATGAAATCTGAGAATAGATAAGGAAACCATACGAACAATATGAAGCAATAGAATTAATGTTGAAAATGTTTTTCATATTTCTAGGTAGTAATAAATAACATCCAAAAAAATAACATGTACAATTTACAAAAAATTCCAGCTTTTGGATGACACAAAGTCACATCATTGGCACATTGTAACAAAGATCACATGATGCAAAATTGCATCACTTGGCAGCAAGTTTGTTAAATCACTTAACAAAAAAGTATGTTTAATGATTAAAGAATAAAATACAGTATTGTTTTACATGATATTATTAATTACTTTATCCAGATAATTAATCAGCAATTAACTATATTCAAACTTTCAATGCAAACTGGAAGTCATGTTATTTCAATTCAAAAATTTTTCGTTTAAAGGTGTCAGATAGATGACTGGCATGACTCTATTGTTAAAGGATAAATATGATGTACAGGGACAAGCCACTACTAATTTGAGCTGGAGAGCATATATTTAAATTAAATAAATTAAAAATATGATTAAAAATTGTAGTCCGGCATTGTGACAATGTCACAATAAATAATTGCTTGTTTCTTCTTGTTTTTTTTTTTAATTTTGCATTTTCAATAAATTGTTTTTGGTGTTTCTATTTACTGCTTTATCTATAATCATTAAAAATANAAATTGAAGATTTCTTTTTGGATAATTTTAATTTTATTGTTATTTTTTCTATTTTTTTTTATCATGTTTTAGTTTTTCGTTTTTTCACTGCATCTAGAAGCAGGGTTTAGGCTGGGAAAAAATTTTCTGTAGCATTTTAGCTAATTTTATTAAAAAAAGTTATAGCAAAGTTTTAGAAACCATAGCTAAAATTTCTTATTCGTAAGGCTGCCAAGAACAATACACAATACAGTATTGTTTAAACATTTGTTTATTCTCATAGATACTGTACATTATTACAGTGTACTGCACTACCAATATAACTAACCTTAAATCTATTGTTGCAACCCACAAGCATCATACATTATTGAACAATCCTTCTTGGTTTTGATTCACACCAGGAAACAAATGCAGAATGAAAATCAAAATTCTCATCTTGGAGAGTCATTTATGGAGATGTTTAACAAATTGCTGATATTTGTTACACCAAGACAATTTCCAATTGGAGTTTTTGTTAACATCATTTTATTGAAACCTGTCACACTCAACAGTGTGCACTGGGTGTGAAAGAACAAATTCAATAACTGTTGATATATGAGGGTAATCTGAGAGATCATTTTATAAACTTTAGCTGATGACATATCCTTAAATCTGACAGCAACAAAACTTTTAACAAATTCCATTCCATCAGAAATTGTTTTTTTAAAATTACAGTATTAACAATTAAGTATTCGTTTATTGGAAACTTTTGGGTCTATAAAGCAGAGAATATGTGTTGTCCCATACACAAGGTGATGTTTGTCAAGGTAGACTTTTCTTTCGTGTAGTCAGAGGGATGAGAGATTGCATTCGATCGGTAATAACTGTTTCATTTTAGAAGAAATAGGATGATGATCGGTTGCCAACCACTTGGTATTGGGTAGGTTTGACTGACAATTTTAAATCAAGACTGGCAGTTGACAAAAATATTTAAGTTTCAGCAAAACAATTTAAAATCTAAACAAAATTATATTGTAATTGAAAAATATCAAAAATAAAGTAAAAATTATAGTATTATTAATTAATGTATATGAAAATACAAAAAATGTGTTGTTTTAAATATTGTTAGGTAGCATTTTAGCATTTTTTAATTGATTTTGACCCTGACCTATCTCTTGAAAGGTGATTTTTTTTTTTTTTTTTACCCTGTTTATGGTATACACTTGTAGTTATATAAAAATAAATCAATTTTGCTCTCTGGCAATATAATAGATTTGAAAATACCACAGATAAAGTAAATATTATAGAAAATAATTCTTGCTACTGATAAGATTTGAAACATATAAACCATCTGATTATGAACCCTTCATGCCCACACTGAGTCAATGGCCAAACTGAAAGCAATGGAAATTCTAAAGGTTTTAAATAATTATACAATTTTCAACCTTAATTTTCTCAATTAATGTTGCACTCTACTGCTTGGCACATGTTAGTTTTTGGGGATGCACTATATTCTCAACAAGTTTGATCAAAATTGGTGACTGTCATGCTATTCCCTCATCAGTAACAGACAAGCTACATTTTCATCCTAAAAATTGCACATATTTTAAAAATATATTAAAGCTTGTTTAATATTAAAAGTTTTTATATCTTTAAAATAAATTAAGTATTAATAAATAATTTGAAATGCAATAAAAATATTAATTTAAACAATGTTTTTTGTTAGATATAAAGCACCAGCATTAGAAAATGCATTGAGGATGACATTAACTGCAAGAAGAAGATATCCAACTCATCAAGAGCGTTATTCGTTGATCGGACAGTTTCCAATTGTTCAACTTAGTAAAGAATCGCTTCCAGTTTTAAAAAATTACAACACTTCCATGATGTCCAATCAGATCACAGTTAAAATAGCACCTCCAGATAATTTTAAACCATCTTTTTCAAGGTAAATATTATTATTAGAATATGTTAATTTAATATTTTAAATTAGAATGTTTCTTCAGAAGAATTTAAGAGTATCACAGCTGAAAGTGAGTTTATAAACCAAATAATTATATTTTTCAGTACTTTTCCAGCAGAATTATTATTGTTGACAAATGTTTTTGACTCTACGTATAAGCCTTCCTCAGGTCTGTCAATAATTCTCCAGTATTTGGCACTTGTCAGCATTCCATTTTAGAGCATTCTACTGGCAAATTATTAACATACCTGAGGAAGGCCTATAAGGAGCATTTTTGACATTTTTTAAATGTCAAAAATATTTGTTTTATTTCAATAAAGTAAGTTTTGCTGGATTTTAGTTTGTGTTGTTAGTTTGTATTATATCCAATTCAAAGAGTATTGTAAATTGGATTACTTTTACTTAAATTTCTGTTGAATTTATATTAATAAAAAAGAAAAAAGATACAAAATTTGAAAGCTAAAATTTACAAGAATAGGTACTGACATACAAAAGCAGTCTGTTTAAGATGCAGTTAAGAAACTGCATCTTGAAACAGTAAAAAGTAATTAGGGAATGCAGAGAATCTTGAGTTCTAGTCCATTTTGTCAAATGGAAAAATAAGAATCCTTGGAGAAAGATTGGGAGACAAACAGGAAAAATGTTGGGAACTTTTCAATATCCTGAAGAATGAGGAGGACAGGATTTATGAAAAGGATTGAATGAACCTCTCTATCAGGGTATCTTACCTTTGATAGAAAAGGGGGCAACCTGAGAGGACTCATGTTATGGAGTAATGTATCTGAAGAATACAGAGAAGTATTTTGTACTTATTGAAGAAGGAATGGAAATAAAAAATCAGTATAACTGTAAAAAAAAATAGAAATTGCAAATTTGAGGTAAAAGAAAAATAGCATGATATGCAAACAAGAATATTCATACTGTATGAAAAATGGGGAAAGAGCTTTTGTACAATTATATAGATAATTAGACTGACTAATGAAAAATATGCCAGAGATTTGAATAAAAATGTGCTTTTATATTATTATTTTACATAAAAGTAAAAGATCTATATAGCTACAGACTGTAGATATATTAATTAAACTAATTAGCCAGATTGAAAAAATTAATTAATATTTCATTTAACACTTACCCTGCTGGTCCAGTTGACCTAGTTCTTTACCTGTCTACTGACTGATTTTAGCGATTTTACAGTATTTTCTACTAAAAATAAAAAACGATAGACTAAAGCTAGGTAAAAAGTAAAAAGAGTGTCTGATATTATGAACATTTATCTGTACATTACTTAATTTTGATGTGTATGTGTCTTATTTTTATATACTGTAAGGTCTCGTTTTATGCGGTGGATACGTTCTACAGAAAAGCGCATATAAAAAATTCGCATAAAAAAAGACTTTACTTGCCTTGAAAAAGTAGGGATACGTTCCGTAATTTTCTAAAATCGCATAAAACCAAAACAACGAGTTAAAATTAACTTAAAACCGCATAAAAAAGTTTGTAGAAATTAAAAGAAATAGGCTGCTTAATAAATTACTTCGAATGTCTGAAAGAAATTCATATAAAAGCTTAAAATAAACTTGTATTCAAACTTAATTCAGTTTATTTTATTGAAAAGTAATACAAGGGGAATCCCCGAATTGCAAAAGCTCACTCTAAAAACAAATCACTGACATCTGGATGTGAAGAGTTAATTAAAACCCCTTTAGTTCCTCGCCCGAGTTAACTCGGGCAGGTTACATAGCGTTACATAAAACACGGTCCTTAAGGCCATTTTTGAAATTTTTTTTTTTAATTTTTGGAATGTTTTTTAAGTCTCCAAAATTTTTAAAAATATTTTAAAATATACGGCCAGCTAGTGTTCACCCTACTTTAAACCCTTGTCCTCCTGCGACGTCTATGAGAATGCCCCTGGAAATCCAACTCCAGCTGTGTTCAAGGTCATCCAGATGTGTAAACAATGACTCATCGGTGTTAAATTTCACAGAAGGGCGAGACAAAGGAAGTTAAACTTTGAAGCTTTTTCTTCAAAATTAACGCATTTCTTTCGTTTTTTTTAGTTTTAAGTATTTTTTATGTTTAATTACATTTATATCAAAAATTGCTAGGAACTAAAGTGATTAAGGTAGATCTAGCTGTCCTTTACATCCATAAACGTTATATGTCAGTGGAACAAATGGAGTGAGCTTTGAGCATTCCACGATTTTTGGGGACTGTCTATACGCGGGCTTCCTAAACAAGCCTATATGTATGTTTGTTCAAGAAATTTTTGGATGAAATACAAACCGCACAACTTCAAAATCGCATAAAAATAATCCACATAACAAGAGACCTTACAGTATTATACTTTAATGTAATTTGGATGTGTTTTAGAGATAAAGATAAAATGAAGAAAATTATAAACTGCAATATAACTCTAAAATTAGTATTTTTATGTATGAATATTTTTATGTATAGATTGATGAATTTATTCAAAATAATGATGTACTGTATCAATATTATTATTAGATTTTTCTCTGAGGTTAGCCATTTTTCATAATTGAGTCTGTTTGGCAAATGTACATAAGATGGCATTCTCACTATTTGAAATTTAGGAATTTGACTTTTGTATTGATAATATCTAAAAAGTATATAAATTATGTAATATCATATAAATTATACAGTTTTAAAATAATAATGAAGTTACGTGGCTTATTTATATATTTTTCAATTTCAGTTAAGCCTCAATCATAAGATTTCAAATTCTAATTCGCAACATTTTCGTCAGATAAATCAATATAATCGGCACCATATTTGTTCACTTTTTATTAATCAATTCAAACAATTATTAGTTAGTATGTTAATGTGCCATATTTAACTTAACTCATATAAAAAATAAAATGATTCAAACTTTGCTTGCAAAATATGGCTACAAAACTTTGAATCAGACGATGATAGCACTTGTAAAAAATCACTTATTTCAAATTTCTAAATAAATAGTGCTCACTATTTATTAACAGACATACTACAATACACAAAGAAATTGTATTTTCATTGCTGAAAACATAATGTTACATTTTAAAGCTAAAAATAACTTGATATATGGAAGAACATAATATTACGTTTTTCGCATTTTACTGAAGACTTCCTGAAACGTAATATTACATTCATAACAGGGTAAGTGTTAATATATGTCCCATCATCTCTAATGTGTTGAAGCACAATGGTATAGCATACAAGCATGCATACCAGTCAAAGATTATTAGAGGTTTTGCACTGCAATTGTTTTGTCATATTTTAATTATTTTTCATATAAAAATACAGTGGGAATTGTATAAATTTATAGTGGTTTTAGTATTGTATATATTTTAAATTAAAAAATTTTGGAGTGTTTGCTGAGAGAGGAGTTTTGAAGCAAGTACTTAAAATGTTTCTAATGACAAGGAGACTGAAAGGGTGAATATAAACAAAGATTCATAAAAAATTCAGTAAAAGGAAATTCAGGCATAGCATTGTTTAAAATATTGAAAGAAAAGAAGTTTAACCCTTCATATTAATGACCAATTTGAATTAAGTAATAATAGTTGCTTTCCATTATTAATTTTTTTTTTTTTTTTTGCTGCAATTTGAGAAAATTGTAGACCTATAAATTCCCACTGTCATCCATCTGTCTTTCCTTAATCTCTAGAACAAAGTTAGATAGATGAAATCTGAGAATAGATAAGGAAACCATACGAACAATATGAAGCAATAGAATTAATGTTGAAAATGTTTTTCATATTTCTAGGTAGTAATAAATAACATCCAAAAAAATAACATGTACAATTTACAAAAAATTCCAGCTTTTGGATGACACAAAGTCACATCATTGGCACATTGTAACAAAGATCACATGATGCAAAATTGCATCACTTGGCAGCAAGTTTGTTAAATCACTTAACAAAAAAGTATGTTTAATGATTAAAGAATAAAATACAGTATTGTTTTACATGATATTATTAATTACTTTATCCAGATAATTAATCAGCAATTAACTATATTCAAACTTTCAATGCAAACTGGAAGTCATGTTATTTCAATTCAAAAATTTTTCGTTTAAAGGTGTCAGATAGATGACTGGCATGACTCTATTGTTAAAGGATAAATATGATGTACAGGGACAAGACACTACTAATTTGAGGTGAAGAGCATATATTTTAAATTAATATGCCTCAATGTCCTTGATTTATTATAATATAAATTTTTCGTCTACTAGTACGTATTTTCTATTATCAGGACTTATTAGACTGGCTTTATAGATACTTCAACAAAGTTTCACAGATCAGAAATTTGTTTTATTTAATATACCTGGACACATACATAATATTGCGTTTCGGACTTGTGAAACTTTGTTGCAATATCTGTAAAGCCAGTCTAATAAGTCCTGATGATAGAAAATACGTACTAGTAGACGAAAAATTTATATTATAAGATTAAGAAAGGTTCATTGATGGTTAATATTTTTATAAATGTATTTATTTGGATTTTTTTGGGAATATGTAAGAATATTTTACATTTTATATAAGTATGGTTTGACTAAATAAATGGAAATAAAAACATTTTAATTCCAAAAAAAAATAATTATAGGTAGATAATATATTGTAAATTAAATTGAAGATTTCTTTTTGGATAATTTTAATTTTATTGTTATTTTTTCAAAGATTCAGAGAACAGAAATAAACTATTTCAAAAAGGTTATGTATATAACTGTGAAAGTCTCGTTCCATAAACCATTCATAGCCAGTAAAATAGAGTTTTATGCACCTTAAATGCAGCATCTATTCTTGTTTGTTCTATGAGGTGTTTGTTATCTGAACATGTGTTTGTTGTCCAAACATAAAAATCTTTAGTGAAGTGTTCGTTGTCTGAACTGTTTGTTACCGATCACCCACTGTATTTCATTTTATACTGTAAAAAAGTTAACTCAAACAGTTTTTGGAACCATATAATTCATTGCAAACTTTATAAAT